AAAAAACAAATAAACAATTTAATGCAGTTCTAAATGCATTTAAATTATACTTTTTTTAAATTTAAAATACATTTAATATATATATATATATATTTTTTTTTTTTTATATATATTTTTTTTTATGTAAATATATTTATAAAAAACAAATAAACAATTTATTTAAATAAATAAAAAAATTCCAAATAACATTTAATTTCTAAATCAAATAAATGTGTTAAAAAATGTACTCTTATACCCACTATTAATGTTAGATTTAGACAAGAATTTTAAGATGTCATTTTATTTATTTATTAGTACATACATTTTTTTATTTTAAGACTCAATTCATTAAAATAATTGTGGTTAATTGTGGTTAGATTTCATGAAAATTAAAATATAAAAATATTAAATTTGGTGTGTTAGGGTTAGGGTTAGGTTAGTTATATAATTATAAATATATTCATTTGTAAGTCACTTTGGACAAAGCATCTGCTAAATGACTAAATGTGTGTGTGTGTGTGTGTGTGTGTGTGTGTGTGTGTGTGTGTGTGTGTGAGTGTGTGTGTGTTTGTAGTTAACTTAAACCATAGACCCCATTTTGAAAAACCCATGTATATAAGCTGAGAACGCCTCCTCATCACACACAGTTCCTGATTAGTATGCATTAATTAACAGATCTTTAATCCAGGATCTCTCTCCCTCTGTGCCCTTGAAAAATTATTAGTGTACAGCTTTTCAATTAAAATTATCATAGAAATACAATGCTTATTTTAGCAAAGGATTACATGCACCAGTGTCTCTTTACATGAAGAAATGCCTCTTAAGCAAATTAAGGTCTCATCCCACACAATTTATCCATTTAAGCAATGAACATGCGTAAGTGTATCCTCTATTTTTATCTACTAAAATAGAGGTTATATAACGCACATTGCTTCCACTAGGAACAACCATCTGACCTAGATCAAACACTTTAAACATTTTGCTTGTCATTCATATTTTTTTCTTCATTCTTCAGAGCGTTGTCAAGAGCGTAGACGTGAACGACATGAAACAACAGCACCAAGGGAGGAGACTGCTCTTACTTTTGGCAACTTTCTAGCAAACGGTAATTAGCCGGGCTCTTGGAACAGTGACAGCTTGCTTGTTGTATTGAGTTTGACACTAAACACTGACTGTGCATCAAAGTCTCACAACATCCTAAAAGTTACAAGGCTCATGGCCTTAATAAGGACTGCAAAAATGAAGTTAGTGTGATACTAATAACTGTTTCCAAAGCTACTGCTCTGAGCTATTTCAAATAAAACATTAATTTATCAAACGTTATGATACACATGTAAGACTTGCATAACTATACTGAATGAAAGTATGTATCAGTGCTTAACAATAAGGACGTTATATTTTTTTTTCTTCATTCTTCAGAGCGTTGTCAAGAGCGTAGACGTGAACGACATGAAACAACAGCACCAAGGGAGGAGACTGCTCTTACTTTTGGCAACTTTCTAGCAAACGGTAATTAGCCGGGCTCTTGGAACAGTGACAGCTTGCTTGTTGTATTGAGTTTGACACTAAACACTAACTGTGCATCAAAGTCTCACAACATCCTAAAAGTTACAAGGCTCATGGCCTTAATAAGGACTGCAAAAATGAAGTTAGTGTGATACTAATAACTGTTTCCAAAGCTACTGCTCCGAGCTATTTCAAATAAAACATTAATTTATCAAACGTTATGATACACATGTAAGACTTGCATAACTATACTGAATGAAAGTATGTATCAGTGCTTAACAATAAGGACGTTATATTTTATATATATAGATAGATAGATAGATAGATAGATAGATAGATAGATAGATAGATAGATAGATATAGATACATATAGTTTATAATAATATATTTTTACCAAATATAAATAAAATAAATTTCTAAAAATACAAAATTCTTTATTTTGTGGTGTGATCAGTGAAAATAAACATCTGAACAACTTAACCAATAGAAAATCATAGTCATATTATGCTCATATTGTCATTCACAATTATGGGGTCAGTACTATTATCAGTATTTTATTTTTAGAAATTAATACTTTTATTATTTTTAAAGAAATAAATTTCACTTTTAAATATTAATTTCACTAATCAATTATTTTTTACTTAGAAATTGATTTTAAAAAGTGACAGTAAAAGTGACAGTTTTTTCTACTCATCAAAGAATCCTTGGAAAAATGATGGTTTTCACAAAAATAATAATAAACATTGTTTTCAGAATGATTTAGAATGATTTGTGACACTGAAGACTGGAAAAATTCAGCTTTGATCACAGGAACAAATTACATTTTACAATATATTCACAGTTATTTTAATTCATGAACATTAAATGCACCATCTCTACAAACACACACAATTGTATGCAAAATGCCTTAAATATTAATTATTTAAATATCAAATATTTTAACTTTATTTAAATATTAGCTATAAAGTTTGAGTCAGAAAAGAAACTGATATTTTTATTCAGCATTAAATTGATCAAAAATGATATCCATGATGTTACAAAAGATTTCTATTTCAAATACAAGCTGTGCTTCAAACTTTCTGTTCATCAAAGCATTCTGAGGGGGGGGAAAAAACACTTCAACACTTTCTCCTCCTCATTAAGAAATGTTTCTCGAGCAGCGAATCAGCATATTATACTGATTTCTGAAAGATCATGTGACACTGAAGACTGGCGTAATGATGCTTTGACATAACAGAAAAAAAATCAAAACGTAAAGTAGTTTAAAGTAGTAAAAGGCTTATTTAAAATTGTAATAATATTTCACAATATTACTGTCTCTTATCAAATAAATGCAGCCTTGTTAAACATAAGAATCTTCTTTCAAAAACATTTAAAAAAAACTGTAACTCTTTATTTTAAGGATGAAGTCTATAGACAGTGTATATGTGCTACTGGTATATAAATGTACTGGTCACAGTTATGGCATACTTGTTATAGAGTACTATATCAGGAAGCCAGATGTGCTGCGATGGAATTCGTAGTTTTTTGATGCCCTCGTACTCATTCGGGTCCCACACCAGTCTGTAGTCATTCCACTCCTACAGAGAGAGAAAATGGGGTTAAAACTGTTCAAATTGGGTGAGACGATGTACCAGAATTGATACCAAACACATTAAATGCATTCACTTGGTTAAACAGGATTTTCCATTACTTTTCGAAATGACCTAAAAGTGAACTATAATTGAATTACAACTCAAATCTGCCGCACGCAGTGAGTGCACTCATGTGTTTGACAGCTGATTTGACTGTGTTTTATAACACTATCCAGATGAGTGCACAGGCATAGCAGGTGAGCTTACCTGAGTCAGCCACACATTCGTCGTCATGATTTGTTCCCTCTCATTCTATAAAAAGAGCAGAACATTGCATGTAACAGCGAAAAGTGAATAGAAAATAATTGGGCGGAGTGACAGGGATATGATGAGATCAGGACATGACACAATCCAGACTCTAACCTGCATCGCCCGTGTGAGCACTAACACTGAGTTCTATCCGGAAAAGACATGACAGGGTTACAGCGTCTCTGTCCTCACTGACAGTGAAAGTCAGTCTGAATTTGCTGTTTAATATACAGCTGTGTGAAGCACAGATTTGAACAAATGAGATTCTGCAGAGGGCGGGGCTAGCCAGTGCAACAGGACAAAAATAGTAACAGAATGTTTTGTCGCTTGTCACTGTGTGGCACTGCGCCTGGTTAGAACAGAGCGTCAATGGGATTTTACCTGTCAGTGTGAATGTATCTTAAGTCTCTAATGTGTCACGGGTATGTTACTGCTGCACCACGGCTCAGTCGTGTGCTTGCGACATGAACATTAAATGCACCATCTCTACAAACACACACAATTGTATGCAAAATGCCTTAAATATTAATTATTTAAATATCAAATATTTTAACTTTATTTAAATATTAGCTATAAAGTTTGAGTCAGAAAAGAAACTGATATTTTTATTCAGCATTAAATTGATCAAAAATGATATCCATGATGTTACAAAAGATTTCTATTTCAAATACAAGCTGTGCTTCAAACTTTCTGTTCATCAAAGCATTCTGAGGGGGGGGAAAAAACACTTCAACACTTTCTCCTCCTCATTAAGAAATGTTTCTCGAGCAGCGAATCAGCATATTATACTGATTTCTGAAAGATCATGTGACACTGAAGACTGGCGTAATGATGCTTTGACATAACAGAAAAAAAATCAAAACGTAAAGTAGTTTAAAGTAGTAAAAGGCTTATTTAAAATTGTAATAATATTTCACAATATTACTGTCTCTTATCAAATAAATGCAGCCTTGTTAAACATAAGAATCTTCTTTCAAAAACATTTAAAAAAAACTGTAACTCTTTATTTTAAGGATCAATTATCGCTATTAATTAGTTGCTTATTAGCATGCATATTACTAGCATATTGGCTGTTTATTACTAATTATAAAGCACATAGTAATGCATTATTCTGCATGACCGTATTTTAGATCCCTTAATCCACGCCATACCTAAACTTAACAAATACCTCACTAACTATTAATAAGCAGCAAATTAGGAGTTTATTCATGGAAAGCTCTTAGTTAATAGTGAATATGTGTTCCCTATTCTAAAGTGTTACCAAAAAAAAAAACTTACTGACTCCAAACTTTTAAACAGGAATGTATCGAACATTTATATTTAAGACATTTAGCAGACACTCTTACCCAGAGTCACTTACAAAAAGTTTCATATACAGCATATGTTAGGTCATGAGTTCATATATATTTATGATGCTGATATCACACATATATTTTAATAAATCACACAAGGCAGGTGTGTTTGTTTAGGGTTGGACCTAAACTCTGCGAAACCTTGAGGGAAACCTTGAGTGTTGGATGTGTGTGTGTGTGTGTGTGTGTGTGTGTGTGTGTGTGTGTGTGTGTGTGTGTGTGTGTGTATGAGACAAACTTACCACACTAATGAGCTGTGCAAGAGAGACTTTGATGCCAATAGTGACCTGCTGACTCTTATTGACCGCAGGACGGATAAGTTTATTGTAACGCTCAGGACCAAGCAGGAAATCTACCAGCCTCTCCTCAGCATCAGCAGAAAGAGACCCTAAAATACACAAACACACAATACATGGTAAATGCCTTTTTGTCTACTAAAGGTGTCATAGTGTATATATATATATATATTATATTATATTATATCAAAAACATTTCAGTGCAGTACTGTATGTTGGCTAAAACATTTTTAAAAAGTATTTTTGTGACTTTTTTGTGACAATGTGACTTTTTTGTGATCAATGTGGCTGTGCTGATGGATTTTTGGCATAGAGACATAGGATTTTGATTTTTGATTTTGATTTACTTGATCAAAGATGTTGTAAAATTAAAAACAGGTCATTCTGAAATCCTTGGATTTCTTACATTTGACTTCAACAGTCTGAGCTGCACATTTCAGAGCAGATTATTGTGTTAACTTCATTTATAAATTACTATAAATAAACTAAATTATGACTGCTTTGCCAAAAAAAAATAATAATAAATAAATAAATAAAATAATAATAATAATAATAATAATAATAATAATAATAATAATAATAATAATAATAGGAAGAAGAATTAGTGGATCACATCGGGGGGGTAACATTTTTATTTTTACATTAAAATAGTGTAGAAATAATTTTCACTCAGAAAGAAAAAATGGCAAGCAACACGTTGTGAATTGACACAACAAATCAACAAATGTGAAATTTTGAAGATGAAAATCTGAAAATTTTCTGGTAAAACATACTCCAATAATCTTGTCTGATATGATCCCTTCTAGACTGTTCTAGCTTTGCATCTAGTGTCTGTTTACCAAAACCTTTAAAAATAGTCTTTAAATGTCAAATAATTATCGAAAGACATTAAAGTCACAAAGCAGTGCCATCTCCTACAGTTTTTTTTTATAGTTCTGGAGTTTTTGAGAAAATCATGAAAAGGTCAGAAGTGTCTGCTAAGCTGTATGTAATCTTTCACTGCAGAGCAAAAAAAAAAAGAAACATGTCAGAATAATTTTTCTCTGCATCTTATCCCATCATAACTCATAAGCCCACCAATGCTGTGGAGGGGGTGTGCCAATGGCATGACAAAAACAATGACTTGCCAAGCCGGTAGCAACACACACACACACACATACACACACACACACTTGCCATTTCTTCCCCACTGCATGTGGGATAAGATCTCCAGTGACTGCACTCCTCCTCTCAAAACAGAATACTGACACACACACACCTAGTTTCCGTCATGAATCCAAGGTTGTGTCAGACTCAGTTGGTATGATCTGTTCCGCACAGGAAGACACACACACCTTTGAGCTTCTGTGGCTATGCTGAGCCTTAGCCATTTTGCATGGCTTGTCCCTTTAAGCAAAGCAAGGTCTTGATCCACTTCACATCAGTTTATGTGTGTGTTTGTGTGTAACTCAGTCCTCAAGGATGTTATACCCATGCAAAAGCCTCTGGAAAGACAATCAGTATGTGACTACATGTGTGTCTGACCTAATACCTCTAATCTCAGACCCATCTGTGTGTGACCACCATTTCTAGCTTAATGCTTCATCAGACAGACGAAACATCTGCAGCAGCATCTGACTCTAATATCCATTTGATTGATTTTATCTATTTGCCATTCTTTCAATGTCTATATGAGCTGCAGTGGATTCAAATGCAGTAATAGAAAGTACCAAAATTATGAGAATGTTTATAAATAAACAAGAATTTCATATTTTACATTTTAGACACAATATGAGTGTGTTTACATGCACGTTCTTAAGCCGATTATGCTTAATAAGCCGACAATGCACGTGGTCATGTAAAAGCGGTAACCTGTTTTCTTTTATCAGAGTAAGGTCATAAACAGCATAAGCATAAACCAGTCGACACAGGTAGTTTTTTGCCTTTTACCCAGATTTTGCGCATCATGTAAACGCATTAACCTGCTTTCTGTCGGCTTATTGAAGTGCACATGTGTAATACCTGGCAGGAACACATTGTTAGTGCAGATTTAAGCGTTTCCAGGCAGAGTGAGAGTTTTGCAGTAAAGAAAGAAGCAAATATATCACAAACACAGACTCTTTCATGACCCAGAAAATGATCAAAATGTGTTCTCATGTCCAGTGCTGGACTGGGACAAAAAAATCAGCCCTGGCATTTTTTGGTCCAAGCGACCCACAATATCACTTCTGCTGAAAATACAGCTTTGAAATCACAGGAATAAATTACATTTTACAATATATTACAATAGAAAGCAGTTACTTTAAATAGTAAAAAATATTTCACAATATCACTGCTTTTGCTGTACTTTGGAACAAATGAATGCAGGCTTGGTGAGCAGAAGAGAATTCTTTAAAAAACATAAAAAATCTTACTGTTCAAAATTTTTTTAACTGGTAGTGTAGATATGTATCATTGCATTTAGTTGCTTTGAATAAGAATAAAACGTCAGGTCCAACAATATTGTGTCTTTTTTTATTTAAATCTAGATTTATTCGCATTGGCCCATGGAAACCCCTATGAACACACTTGACTTGGCCAAAAAAATCGCGGGGGAAGAATTTACATTTTATTAAAAAGTGTTTTCGTATTCTACACTCATGGCGCGCACACACATTAGGATAGGTTAGATGCCTGCCTCCGCTGCGAGTCCCTATCAAGCACTTTACCGATTTAACTACTCTCTTCTCCTCCTCCTGCCTGGCTCTTTGGCCCACATCACTCACCGCAGAGCAAGCCTGTTCTTGATAATGCTGCTGTGAAAACATGGGGAAACCCAACGAGGAAGAAGTTGGGGTGAAGCGATCTTTATATAGGTGGAGCAAAATAGCCTACTTCATCGCTCCGTCAGCGCATTGTGATTGGGTGGTTTACGCTGTCAATACAGGAGACAAACCAATGGGCCACTGGCTGCTCGCTGTCCGTGCGTGATGGTCCTTGGCAAAAAAAAATAAAAAATTCTGTCGGCCCCTTAAGTGCGTCGGCCCACGGGGAAAATGCCCGGTATGCCCGATTAGCAGTCCAGCCCTGAGGTGCAGCAGAAGTAGAAGTGGTTCAGTCAAAACGCTGCATCTGTAACTGCATGAGAGTATAATATATGAGCTGTAGCCTAAGTTTCCCGCTGACATGCAAGCTTTATTTAACATCACAACTGACAACATATGGAATACAAATGATTAGCTGTGTTTTGACGTCACTACAGGAAAATAACCTGATTTATTAATAAAGTCATGTAAACGCGGTTTGCTTGTGTTGTCGGGTTACTGATGTGCATGTAAACTGGGAAAACTGGTTATTTCAATAAGCTGATATTTATCAGCTTACTAGTGTGCATGTACATGTTCTCAATATCTTTTCTTTTCTCCACGACTGAAAACTGTTCCATACAAACACAAGGCTGAATCAATCTGTTGTGTATACACTTCCATTTAAAAGTTTGGAGGATTTTTTCTAAAGATTTTAATACTTTTATTCAGACAGCAAGGATCCATTAAATTAACCAGAAGTGACTGTAAAGACATTTACAATGTTACTAAATATTTCCATTTCATGTAAATGTTGCCATTTTATAACTTTATATATTGTATAACTTAATCATCAATATCATGAAAAAATGTATCACAGATTTCATAAAAAATATTAAGCAGTACAACCATTTTCAAAATTGATAATAACAGAAATGTTAAACCAAATCAGCATATTAGAATGATTTCTGAAGGATCATGTGATACTAAAGACTGGAGTATTGATGTTGAAAATTCAGCTTTGCCATCACTGGAAAAAATACATTTTAAAATATTTTACAACAGAAAACAGTTAAATGTAAATAATGCTTCACATATTTTTGACCAAATAAATGCAGCCTTGATGAGACTACTTAAAAAAAAAAACATTTAAAAGTCTTACCAAACCTAAACTTTTGAATGGTACTTTATGGAATACAAATGATTAGCTGTGTTTTGACGTCACTACAGGAAAATAACCTGATTTATTAATGAAGTCATGTAAACGCGGTTTGCTTGTGTTGTCGGGTTACTGATGTGCATGTAAACTGGGAAAACTGGTTATTTCAATAAGCTGATATTTATCAGCTTACTAGTGTGCATGTACATGTTCTCAATATCTTTTCTTTTCTCCACGACTGAAAACTGTTCCATACAAACACAAGGCTGAATCAATCTGTTGTGTATACACTTCCATTTAAAAGTTTGGAGGATTTTTTTCTAAAGATTTTAATACTTTTATTCAGACAGCAAGGATCCATTAAATTAACCAGAAGTGACTGTAAAGACATTTACAATGTTACTAAATATTTCCATTTCATGTAAATATTGCCATTTTATAACTTTATATATTGTATAACTTAATCATCAATATCATGAAAAAATGTATCACAGATTTCATAAAAAATATTAAGCAGTACAACCATTTTCAACATTGATAATAACAGAAATGTTAAACCAAATCAGCATATTAGAATGATTTCTGAAGGATCATGTGATACTAAAGACTGGAGTATTGATGTTGAAAATTCAGCTTTGCCATCACTGGAAAAAATACATTTTAAAATATTTTACAACAGAAAACAGTTAAATGTAAATAATGCTTCACATATTTTTGACCACATAAATGCAGCCTTGATGAGACTACTTAAAAAAAACATTTAAAAGTCTTACCAAACCTAAACTTTTGAATGGTACTTTAAAGTGGTGTTTTGTTCCTGAATTCATGTTTTTGAATCAATCAACTGAATGAATGATTCAATGAACCAACTGGCATGACAATCTAAACTTCAGAAAAAATCACTACAAATTTTCCACCAATAATGCACAGACCTGACAGGCTGTGATAAGCAGACGGATACAAAGACTGACTGTATATCAAAGCTCTCGGAACGACACTTGGCCAATCAAATTCAAAGACTTTTTAAATTAAATGCTATTACTGTTAGAGACCATTCACAACCATAATATTAAATATTGATATTCAATTTATCTTTAAAAAAAAAATTTTTTTTAAGTGCAATAAACTTATATGAATGCTAGAGTCATTCTATAATGAGTGAATTAATTCAAGCAGTCATCAAATGGTGAATTTTGTGAATTAAATGTTACAAAATTTAAATAATCACCATTTTAATGTATTTATTAAATAGTGATATTCAATTTATCTTTAAAATGGTATTGCATTTATTTATATAAAGTGCAATACACTTATATGAATGCTAGAGCCATTCTATACCATTAGATCTAAATTTATTTCCGACACTTTTATTCAGTATCGTGCTATTAAAAAAAGTGAAAGTGACGTGGTTTCCCATACTCGGACTTTGTGCTCTGCATTTCACCCATCCAAGTGCACACATACAATACAGCAGTGAGTAGTGAACACACACACACACACACACAACGTGAACACACACCGGGGAGCAGTTAGGGTTCGGTGCCTTGCTCAAGGGTCTCACCTCAGTCATGGTCATTCACTCCCCCCAACTACAATCCCTGCCACTACCGAGACTCGAACCCGCTACTTTTGGGTTACAAGTTTGACTCTCTAACCATTAGGTCACGACTGCCCTGATATATACAGTATAAGGCATGGGTCAATTTGAGCACTGACACTGCTGCTGTCTTATAGCCTGTTAGCCAGCCTTTATATCATACTACAGAAAGTAGAGTGATGATCTTTACTTTCTTGATGTCATCAGTTATCTCATATTTACTTTGTAAATCCTTTTCTTTTACCAAATGTGCTACTCTTACATTTAGTAAGATAGTCCTTATATCTCTTTTGCTGCCTCTCTTCAGGTACACATTTTTAATGCAGGTTTATACTTTTAAGTGCAGACTTATCCACCTTATTTTTCAATGTGGAAGTAAGCCGTTTTCTGTGAATGTGCCAGACTTCCGGTTCATTAGGAAATAACGAGAAGAATAACAACATGCAGTAAATGGTAAAACTGTTTGCACTACAAACCAGTGGGTTCATAATTAAGATAATACATGAAATTAACATTGTAAGACACAATAGTTTGCAATTTCAAGCAGCAAAACAAGCTGTTTTGTACAGCTAAAAATAGCTGGAAGCGGATGACACCGGAAGCCAGACTCATAAAATTTACAAATGGACGCGCCGGCTCTTAAGGGAAAAATAAGGTGGCTAGAAAGAGACACACCGACATGCACAACAACTCTTGAAAGAGCTGATAATTAAAGATGAAATATATCATACTGCTATAATTTACACGTTATGTGTGTGTTTGTGGCTATTCAGATATTCAGATTAATGTGCATGTGACTGAACTGTGAAGAGGTTGTGTGTTTTTGTTATGCTTGCTCTGATGTTAATGGAT